ATTTATAGGGGAGCCTGAGTTACTACCTGTGGTCACCGTGGCCATTAAACTGCTCCAGGGGCTGAGATTTACATATCGGCCACGTGACCTGCAACAAGCTTAGCGGAGAAAAAAAAGGGGGGGGGGACATTTACAGTCTAATTAGAGCTGGTGATTGATACACAGGGCTGGCAGAGACCAGCCTTGTCAACCCCAAGAAACCCAGAAAACCCCCACCCACGATGCATTCCCAGGTGATAAGCAGAGTGGATCCTGGGTCCCGTGTGCTGGAAGGAAGGCCCACAGATAAGAAAAAGGGCTCCGAACCAGTGGGCCCCCTTTCCCCCCTGGAGTGACCCGGGAGTGCTGGAAAGAGGGTGGGGAGGAAGCAGGGTGGGAGGGCCTTCACTCCTCTCCACCACTGTGTCCAATTAATGCAGTAATTAAGTCTATTACCTGCACAAAGGTTGCTGACAACCAGTTAATAACACGCTGCACCCTCCACCGCTTTCATCCCAAGATCTCCAAACACGTTATAAATAATTAAATGCTATTATTTAGTGATTTGTGTAATCAAAGAACTTTACAGCCATCTTTTTTTTTCTTTCACTGCACACAGCTCAGCACCATGACCTTCGGTGAGGAAACTGAGGCACAGAGAGAGGCCAGGGGAGTTGGCTTAGGTCACGTGACACCTCGCCATGGCTCTTGGTGCCCACCCACGTCCCTCCTTCCCTACCTACCAGCCTTCAGCCTGACGGCTCTCCCGGGCACAGTGATGCAAGTGTTCCCCACTGAAGCCATCTGCATTCCCACTGGGGCAGGTGGAGGGACCCCACAGAACAAACCAGATACCTCTCGTCCTGGCCTCTGCCTTGACCCCCTTTTGCTGTTTGAACCCTCCATATTGAACCAAGTCACTAAATTGTGCCCCTTTTTCATATGGTTTACCAGAGGGGCAGGTTTTTGATCATTACAAACAAAGTCCAAGTTTCCACCGAGTGTCCAAAGCCATCTGTGGTCACTTAGATGCCGCCTTCTGAAAGCTATCTTCTATGTCCTATGACTATCACACGTGAGGAGCAAAATTCGCACACGCGCGGGACCTTCCATCTAAAGCAACATTTCATTATCATATTCCGTTGGGGCTGTAGAACTCAAGCCAGGACCCACTCAGGCCAAGGGCTGTGGGAAGCTGACAGCATAAGCCTAAACCGTGGTAACCCCCCTGCCCGACCTGGTCCAAGGCCCAGGGTAGAGTTAAGTAATTAATCCTCCCACAGCGCGCCTTGGACGGACCTCCTCCGGGATGCGAGTATTATAGATCATTCTGGTTACTCACCTGTCTCCTCCATCAGCCTGAACTTCTTATCTCAGGATCTTTCCTACAGTTTCCTAATACTCTGAACAACGCTGTGTGGTAAATATGATTATCCTAATTTTACAGACGTGGAAACTGAGGCTCCTGATTTACCCAAAACCTCATAGATCGTTGATGCCTTAATCATGATGAGACTCGGTTTCTTCAGCCCTAGGTTTGCTGTTCTGCTCACAGCCCTCCGGATCCCCCATCCAGTCCACCTGACTCATGGTCAGAGTAGTCAATCTGACTAACTCAAGCTCACTCCTGCACCGGAGCTGTGGAGGACCAAGGCCACATCCAAACTGCAGAGCGAAAAGGGTAACTGGCAAGTAGCCATCTCAGATACCCCAGCCAGAGTATTTGGAGGCGAAGGAGCATTCTCATTATCATAATTGCCAACACAAATACAATTGCCTAGATCGTGTCAGCTTTCTTCATTGCCTTGAAGGCATTTAGCTGTATCTGCACGTAAGTGAAATTATAGCACCTCTTAGCCAATCATCTGGTCTATAAAGATGAAGCAACCGTGTCTTGTCTGTGATCTGTGCCTCATTTTCATTCGGCACATGTTTATTGGGTACGAGGGATGTGCCAAGCCCTGTGCTGGATGGCAGGATGAATGCATGACTGAGACAGTCCCCACCCTTGGAAAGTGCCCAGTCCAGAGAAGCCACGGGGTGCAGCTCCCAGGAGGAGTGCACTGAGGCAGGTGGAGAAAGACAGGGAAATCACGCAAGCCCAGGGCACACCAGTCACGATTACAGGGACGATGAAGCTAGCTACCGACTCTGAAGCCACCAGACACAATAAAGGGGACAGCGAGTGTTTAGGTTTGTCTCTCCCTCCCCAGAGCCTGGCATGACCAGCGGTAAAATCTTCCTATAATAAATAACTAGCAGTCCTCATGGGTGGGAGCCTAACGGGATACTAGGTGCCGGCCATTCTGGTCTCACACGTCTGCTCGGGCTCCCCTGTTCGTCTCCGTGATCACGTTCTGTCTGGGTTGGAGAGGACCCCGTTCCCACTAAGGGGACACATTATTGGGTGCCCCAGCAAACCAGGGGTCATTCCTCACTTAGGGTGAAGTCCAAGAGCATCCTATCCAGGTACCTCAGGCCCCAGTCATTCTGAGGCTAGATGGCCCGTTAGGCAGTCGAGCAGCGGACGAAGTTACGTAGCTCCTTCAAGTAAGAAAAGCACCCTAGCGCCACGCCTTTGTTAATCAGACGCCAGCCTGCAGCGGACTACTGGCCATCATCGTTCTGCTGCAGAGTTCATTGAGAAGATCAGAATTCAACATGTAATTTGATTGCAGGAATGCACTGGTATAGACAGAAGAGCAGAGTAATTGAGGACTGCCATCCCTGCTCCCTGTTAGATGGGCCTTGAGAGAGACAATAAGTCCCCAGATAAGTAAATCCTTTGACAATAATTATGGGTGTCCATTAATGGGTCAGACCCTGTGCTGGGCCTTCAGAAGCAGATGAGGGCAACACACTCCCTCTCCTTAAGGGGCTGATGCCAGATGGGAGGAGAGTACAGCCACGGTTAGCAGACCATCCTAGGAAAGGACATGAAAAATACAGTGCCAGGAACTGGGGAGGCACAAAGGTGGGCTGCAAATTCTATCCACGGAATCTAAAGGCTCCAGAGAGGATGTGACATTTGGGATGGGCTTCAATGAAACAAGCAGATCATGAAATAAATGAGAAGTGAACCTTGAGACATGCCACATCAGGTAATGCTGACACTCGTGATTATACAGTCAGGCTTTGTGGGATTATAGATCAGGCCAACTCTACCTTGGTGATGGGGCCGGATTGCTCTAATCTCTCCATTCCTCACTTTCGCCATCTGCAAAACACCATTATTCTGATCATTACATTAGACCATCTAAGGCTAAGCACCTGACACAGAGTCTGGGAACGAGTGTCCAAGAAACGTCGGCCATTATCACGTACGGATGGAAAAGTGTGAAGGAGACGAGCAAGCCGGTGTGGCTTGAGGCTTTAATGCAAAATGAAGGGTAGGAACTGTCCAGTTTAGTACGTTGACATTTATCCCAAAGTCAATGGTAAAAATGAAGTCATCTCTGACCTGGACTATGCCATGCTGGATTAGATCAGAGACCACAGACAGGCCTGGACGCAGGGCCATCAGAGATGAGCCATTGACCTTGAAGTTTATAAACGAAGATGAAGAGAAGACGAGGGATTCTGAAGATATCAGGTGGTCAGTTTTATGTGTCGACTTGGCTAGTCTACAATCCCCAGTTATTTAATCACACACTAATCTAGAAGTTGTGGGGCGCTGGGGTGGTTCAGTCGGTTAAGCGTCCGACTTCGACTCAGGTCACGATCTCGCGGTCCGTGAGTTTGAGCCCCGCGTCGGGCTCTGGGCTGATGGCTCGCAGCCTGGAGCCTGCTTCCGATTCTGTGTCTCCCTCTCTCTCTGCCCCTCCCCTGTTCATGCTCTGTCTCTCTCTGTCTCAAAAATAAATAAACGTTAAAAAAAAAATTAATCTAGAAGTTGCTGTGAAGGTATTTTGCTGATGTGATTAAAGTCTAAACGGTTGACTTTAAGTGTGGGAGGTGCTCCTGTATAATTTGGGTGGGCCTCATTCAAGGTGAAAGGCCTTAAGAGCAGAGCTCAGATTTCTCTGAAGAAGAAATTCTGCCTGTGGACAGAAGATCTAGCCCATGTCCAAGTTCCAGAACTGCCCTAGGGATTTCGAACCTGCCAGGCCAGCCCCAACCATCACATCAGCCAGTTCCTGATAACAAATCTTAATACCTATCTGCTCTCAGTTCTGTTTCGTTGGTTGAATCCTGGCTGATACAGTAACTGATTAAAAGTAGGGGTAAAAGAAACCACATCAGTCCTAAAGATTCTTCCCAAAGCCCTAGACACACGATTCCCGCCTCATCCTATGCCAAAGTCCATAAAAATCTCCCTTTTATGCGGCTGCCTTTTCTGGAGAAGGCAACATTCCTGCCTTGGTTGGCAACTCTATAGAGCAGATCACGGAAGTTCGGCCTTATCAACTCTGACATATGGATCACGCTCCTGGGTTGAGTTTTTTTTGTTGTTGTTCTGTTTTGTTCTTCATATATATAGTTTTATATGGTTTCTTTTATGTTTTAGGCTGAGTCTTTGATCTCCCCAGGAAAAATCTTCTCCCCCCTGGAGTTCCTTTTAATCTACGAAAATCACTGACCACAGCTGTGGACCGAGAAGGGTTCTGCAGAGACACAGGCCAAGCCGAGTGAGAGAGTGTGGACCCAGATAACGCGGAACAATGTGTTGCTTCGGGGCCCTACAGCATGTGTTGGGAGCTCTCTGCAGGCCTCCCAACCCCTGGGTTCAAGAACGTGTGGCTGATGAATGGGCAAGGGGGACAGAGTCTCTGTTCACCGTACGAGGCTTGGCTCAGATACCCAACTTCAACCCTGGCTAAGCCTGATCAGGCACGCACCCCCCTCCCCATTCTATTTAACAACTGAGGAAGATGAGGCCCAGAGAGAGTCCAAGGTTCCGTTCCCTAGAAGTAGACCTGAGACAAAGGATCCTCTCATCCTGACACAATTTTAAACTTAAAGAAAAGTTTCAATAATTGTATAAGAAGCTCCCATATGCCCTCTATCCAGACTTGCCAATGTTAGAGACATCGTGTACCTTTATCGCTATATATGTCGCTGTGTACGTCCTAAGCACTAGAACATTCTTTTATACAATCATGGTGCGGTGATCAAAAACACAAAATTTAGCATTGTTTCGATGCTACTACTCGTGCCGCCCATATTAAGATTTGGTCGATCATCCCAATACTGTCTTTTATAAGCTATTTATTCTTCCTGGTTCAAGATCCCATCCAGGATTATGTGTTGCATTTAATCATCGCAACTCTTTAGTCTCTTTTAAGTGGAAACGTCATCTAAATCTTTCTTGGTCTTTCTCAACCTTGACATTTTTGAAGAGTATTGGCCAGGCACTTTGTAGCATGTCTATCGGTTTCGGTTTGTCTGGTTGAAAGAGTTCCCAGGAAGAAAGCATCCCCAGGTAGTAAGAAATAGCAACGAGAAACACCGAGGTCAGCACGGGTGCACACTGAAGCAGAAGACCCCTGCAGGCTGAGTCTGGCTCAGACCCCAGGGAATCTCTCCAACAGCGTCGTCACACCTCAGTGTTGTCCTAATTGGGGGACCAGCTACAGAAAATATACCCCCTGTGGCCAGTGGTCACATTCAGCTCCAATTCTCCATGCACGCAGGCTCGGGCAACTTCTGCAGCCAGAGGGCATACGTGTTGGCTACCGGCCGGTGTGTACGAAAAAACAGGAAAGGGATCTGGGGGGACACAGTTGGCACAATGACAGTGTTGCTAGAAAGAGTTTGACTTACCCAGAATCATAGAGCTGATAAGGAACAGAGCTAGAATTTCGGCAAGCTCTGTGCCACTGACCCACACTCCATCACCTCTCTGGAGAACTACCATCACGCAGGAGACAATGGATCCCGCATCATGACTTAGCTGGAGAAATGAGATATTAAAAATAATTTAAAGCAGGGTCACATTGTCTCTCCATTTTGGATTGCAGGCAGTTGGTTATTATTTGACCTTTGTCTGTTATTTTTACATGCTGTTCGATGACTGTATATTCACATGACGACCGGTAAGAGAAGTATATTCACGTGATGATCGAGATGCAGATACTCGTGTGTCCACAGGGTGCACAGGTGGCTGGGAAGCCCAGCGTCTGAGAGCTTGGGCTCTGGGGCTGGACTGCTGGGTTCGAGCTCTGGCTATGCCAGTCACTAACGCAGTCACCTCTCAGAATAGCTTCTAGCATCTGTAGGGAGAGTAACAGTGCCAACCCAGGAGGTTGGGTGAGAATTAGATGAGACACGGTTTATAAAATTCTCAAGATAGGGCCCGACACATGGCGAGTGCTCTATAAATGTTAACTGTCTTATTAACATCTCTGACTGACCCACGGGGTGTGACGGGTCTGCCCTGCCCTCATCTGATTCACCTTTGTCCCCACCCCCTCTCACTCTCTGTCCAGCAGGGACCTGCCTCGCACACAGTGGCCGCCGCCAAGGGTTCCAGAGGGGGCTGGCGAGAACAGTGAGAGTATTCAACCATGGGTCAGCTAAGACAAAATTGGGATCAAAGGGATAGGACCCATAAGAAGCTCTAAGGACGTGGAGAAGTGTGCGGGTCATACCCGAGATGCCACCACCATTCTCCCATGGACTGTTCCCCACAAGCCACCTGCCTTCTCCCAAGCACACCAGGCTCCTCTGCTCTGTACCGTTGCACAAAGTTTCCCGTTCCCGTCAGAAACTTCCCCACGGTGGTCAGCGGATTCTAAGACCCGCCTTCGGATCTTTTCCCTTTGTGACTCTTCCTTTGAGTGTGGGCTGGACCTAGTAAGTTGCTTCTCCTGGGAAACATGAGGGGATGTCACTTCTGAGATTAGGTTATAAAAAGACAGTCTCGTTCACCCTTTCTTGCTTTCATGTTCTGGTGGAAGCCAGCTTCCATGTTGTGAAGAAGGAACAGAGGGATGCCTCTGTGACCAACAGCCAGTGAGGAAGAGAGACCCCGAGTCAGACAGTCCAGGAGGAATCAAATCCTGCCAACATCCACATGACTGAAACTGGAAGGGTATTCTCCTGCCGGCTGAGCCCTCAAATGAAACCTAAGAACCAACCAACACCCTGATGGCACCCTGAGCACAGGACTCAGGTGATCCGTGCCCTGACTCCTGACCCACAGAAACCGTGACATAATGAATGTGTGGGTTGTAGGTCTCTAAGTTTGGGTTAACCTGTTACACAGCAATCAATAACTAATACACATACTTTCAACCTGCCGAAGTCATATTCACTCAGGTATTACATATCCGGGGAGGTCTTCTGTGGTTTCCTATCCTTGACCCTGGCTGGGCTAGGTAGCCCTCCTGAGTGGTACCACAGTTTCTACCCTCACAGCCTCAAACACATTATACTATACTTTTCTGGTAATTTATCAGCCCTTCCCTCTGGAATAGGAGTCCTTTGCAGCCATAAGCTGTGTCTCATTCATCTCTGTCACCCCTAAAACAAGCCCGGTGCCTAACTTACTAGTAATGATAATACCTCATATTTAATGAGCACTCATTATGTGCCAAAATCATTTTGCTTTTCAAGCTCAATCTCACTGAAGTCTCCAAACAAGTATCATTAAGTCCATTTTTACTGATGAAAATAACAAAACAAAACTGAGGTTCAAATGCTTGCCCAAGGAGCTAATACATGGCAGAACTAGAACTTGAACCCAAGCCATGTGGCTCTAGAGTTATGACTCTGTGAGGTAGGCATTTGTTGACCGACACCCAACTAAGGACCTGCTATGTGGCCACAAGATTGACAACAGACCCAACATGACTGGCCATTTGTGTATCTGCCACACAGAGGAGCGAGAGCCCCACAAAGTTATAGAGAGCAGTAAGGAATAGCAAAGTCAAGACTGAGAACAGCTGGGTTTGGATTTCCTGGAAAGCCTGGGCCAGAGGCCAAGACAGAATCCAGGGAGCAAAGTTGAGTGGTTGTCAGGTCAACAAGCCCATGGAGCCAGGAGAAGACACAGCAGGGGCTGGGGGTGGGAGACAGCCATCTGGGAGACCCGTATCTCTGAACACTCATGAGCACTTCCCCATTCAATCAATTCCTCTGACATTTATTGAGTATCTACTATGTGTCAGATACTGTCTAGGGTGGGGGCTATCGCGATAAATGCATGAGACAAAAAAAAAAGAAAAATCCCTGTCCCTGTGGAGTTTACATTCTAGTGGGTAGGGAGAGACTGGCAGACAATTAAAGTAAATATATTTATATTATAAAGTAGAAGATTTTAAATGCTATCTAAAAATAAAGCGAGAAAAGTGGGAGGCAGGGCAGGAGGGGAGATGTGGACACAATTCCATGGAAGGATGTCGCCTGTGAAAACGTAAAGAGCTTGGACGATAAATGTTCTTAGCATTGCGATTCCCACTGTGAGAAGGTGGAGGGTCTTAATTGGTTCTAATGTTGATTCTGCATGCTTTGGAGAGGGATGTCCCCTATCTTTAGTATCAGGATTTAGTGAACCAAGCTCGTGAGCATTAATCTGGGTTGCTTCCAGCAGAAAACGGATTTCCAAGCCATGCGAGGAACTCTGGTAGGATACAGGCGGCCATAAACATCCAAAGAGGGCATCTCTGCGGGTACGAAGACCAGGGAGCAGGTGGAAAGAAAGTTGAGGGTTCCACCTAACTCAGTCGGCTGGACACAAGCCAACAGCTGGGTCTTTGTGTGATGACAGATCCAGAAGCCACCTCTAATCCCCTCGGGCAGTAGGGGTGCGGGTCAGAGGAACAGAGGCAGAAGCAGAGACCTGAAAATGGACAAACACACGGAGGCAAGGGATATCAAGGCCTCCCTGTGGCCTTCACTGGGTGCCCACCGGCCGTGCGAGTGGAGGTTCAGCCCCCGTTGGAGATTCGGTTGGGACCTCGGGCAGCTGCTGCTTCTCAGGTCAGGACGGATCCTCCAGACGCGGGCTGAGCCTGCAACCAGCATCGCCATCCAGCTCCTGAATTCTCGCCACGTTCTGTGACAGGCGCCACGCAGGGCTCGCAGACTGGGACTTTGTATGGTGGCCGAGTCGCAAACCTAGCCTCGTCCTTCTCCAGCCTGGATCTCTTCAACCATCCCGTCAAGCCCATTGCACTGCACCGTGCACCTTGCACTCCAGGTAGGGCGCCAGAGGCCCCCACACCATGCCAGGTTTGTCTCGGAAATACATGGTTGCTTCCCCCGCCCCGTCACCCGCAGTCCCTTTCTTGTCACCAGCAGTGTCCTGGGCTGACTTCTAAATCCCCTAATCCTGAGAGCACCTTACTAAGGACCTGCACGCAGGTGAGGCGACTGCCACTACAAGACAGCAGGCAACCCAGTAAAGGAAGCTCGCAGTGGATTCTGAACCAGATCCAAGCGATTCGGACCCCTGCTCCCCCACGAGGCTACGCAGCCTCCAGCCCACGCTCCTCGTCTGTCAGATCGGTCCAGTCACGCCCACCTCATCCACGTGCCATGAGGTTTCAGCGAGAATCTACAGAGCCCTCAGAACAGGCCCTGGACCACCAAGTACAAGGCAGCCGGTGGTAGTTATAGACGTGACGTCAGCTCTCCGCCCTCCTGAGAAATTCTGCTCATTGCTTTGAGAAGTCGCCGGAAGGACACCCGTAAATTTGGAACCCTTAGCTCCTGCTCCCCAAAAAGGAAGCTGCCCCCCAGCTTCTGAGCTCTTGGAGCTTTAACCCAGCAGGTGCTCACTCGTGAGAATCAGGGCGGCACACACAGCCAGAGCATTTGTTCAAGAATTAAAAGTCGGCCCGTATGGCCCTGCTGTTAAACTCCCTGTGGGTGAGCCGGGTTAACGGTGGGGCCTCGTGTGATAAGCCATTAATCTCCACGTGTAATGCAAGAGCCGTACAACTCACTTCAGCCCTAATCTCCCATGAGTTACAGCCTCTTCTGTGATTCATAAAACAAATCAATCACACCTCCCAGGCTCTCATCTATTTATTACTGCTTTTTAAATGCTCGGAGAGAGAGAACGTGGAGGGTGTTATTCATCCTTCCCCAGCTCAGCCGACCTCTGCATGCTGCAGGAAAGCAGACTCTAGCCCCCTTCCTGGGGTCACAGGCCAAGGTTAGTTGCGTTCTAAGGCTCACAAGGAGCTCGTGATTCTTAGCATCTTTAGGGGCTGCAAGGAGCCTCCCCGTCACTCTCCATAGGGGCTGGGTGCACAGACTTGACTGGGTGACAGTTCCCAACCCAACAATAAAATGGTCGTTTCCCAAGCACTGAGTCCAAGGGGAGGGGGGAGTTGTTAGGCAGCGGTCGGAACTGTCAGGGGGAACACGGCAGCAGCTGGACAAAAGGGAAGCACTCATTCTGTGCCTGCTCTTTGCCAGTCACCGTGCCGATGTATTTTCCATCGGTCTTGACCAAAAGCCAACAAGGTGGCTGCTATTGTCCCCACTTTGCAGAAGAGGAAGCGATGGCTGTGGAGGGCAAGGCCACACAGCAAAGCCAGTATCTGCCGGGGAAACCCAGCCCAGCCCACACCCCGTCCCTCTGCCCACCCCGACGGCTAACCAGCCTCACCCGAGTTCTCTGAGCATTTCTGCTACTGCGCCTGACATTCTCAGCATTGTAGCAATTTTACCTGAACAATCTGCTGACATCGGCCCATTGGCAGTGGGTGTGGGGGGACCGTGAAGGCCGTGGCTTCTTGACCACAGGTTCAGGAGCTTCACAATGGTAGACGCTCCCCTGCAGCTCTCAAACTTAGGGTCTCCGAGTCAAGCTGGCGTGGGAAGGGCCAGGATCCCCAAGGCTCCCTCTGCCAGTCCCCCGCAATGGAGATTCTGAAGGGAGCAAGCACAGGGCAGGCAACCACAGGGGCAACCACAGGGCTCACCCTTGGCCCCATGAGCCCTGGAGATCACAGCGCCCCCTTCTCCCTTCCAGTAATGTTGGCCAGCAGACCCAGGCGACAGGCTGGTGGGTTTCATTTCCTAGTCTTCCCACAAGGAAGTCGCTCAAACACAAGTCTTTGCAAAACCAAGGTCCAGCCTCTCGGCCCTACACTGTACAATCCCTGCAGAAAGAAGCTCTAGGCAGGGACTTTGGGTAGGGGGCAGCTTGGCCACTCAATGTCCCTCTGAAGTGGAAGAGGACATGGCAAGACGTGAGCCATCAGGCAAATCCCCGGCCGGATTTAGATGGCCCCAGATCCCACAGTCTCTTCCCCACCCTCCAGCCAGAGGAGGCTTAAAAAACTTTTGTTAAGTTTATTTATTTATATTTTGAGAAAGAGAGAGAGAGAGAACAAGGGTGGGGGGGGCAAAGAGAGACGGAGAGAGAATCCCAAGAAGGCTCTGCACCGTCAGCACAGAGCCCGACTCGGGGCTAGAACTCATGAACCATGAAGATACAACCTGAGCCAAAACCAAGAGTCGGATGCTTAATGGACTGAGCCACCCCGGTGCCCCAGAGGAGCCTTTAACATCAGTGAACCAGATCACATCCTGCTTCCACACCTCTTCCCCTGATTAAAACCCTCTAATAGTGTTCCCCCCACCCTGGGGTGGGGGGGGTGGGCAGAAACCCAAACTCTGTCCCTTAGCCCAGCCAAGACTCCAGCTTGAGCTTCACCGGGGTCCCCTACAGGCACCACAACCTAGAGTTTCTGATTCAGAGGCTCAAGAATGCACATTTCCTTCAAGTTCCCAAGTGACACCGAGGCTGCCCATCCAGGGGCCACCTGGAGAACCAGGATCCAGTATATTTCGTCTCATGCTCACTTATTCCTGATCTAACTTGCTCACCATGTCCAGGCCCTAGAGACCCCAATGAGGATCTATAAACCCCCCAGAGGATTTCTTAGTGTCAGGGCCCTCCCGCTCAGGATACCCTGGACTCTTCCCCCTGGCCCAGTCTCCCCGGTCCTGGATTCTTCTCATCCTCCCGGGCTCTGGGTAGTCCCAGCCCCTGCTCCTCACTCCCCACCTGCTTAAGGATGCTCTTACCTTGGTGCCTTGTATTGCAGCTTCCCATCCACTCGCTTCTCAGCACCATCCAGCATGCAGGGGAATCGCAAGGCTCTGTTGATTTGCTGGGATCTCTCTGTGAACATGTGTGAGAGTTTTCTATCTCGGCCTTTAGACTGTGGGCTTCTTCCATCCAGACTCTGTCTTAACACTAACCCAGCACACAGCTCAGTGCCTGTCACACAGGGGGTGCTCAGAAATGTGTGTTAAGGGTCGCCTGGGTGGCTCAGTCGGTTAAGCATCCGACTTCAGCTCAGGTCATGATATCACAGTTCATGGGTTCAGGCCCCGCGTCGGGCTCTGTGCCAACAGCTCCGAGCCTGGAGCCTGCTTCAGAGTCTGTGTCTCCCTCTCTCTCTGGCCCTCCCCCGCTCTCGCGCTGTCTCTCTCTCTCAAGAATAAAATAAAAATATTTAGAAAATAAAAAGAATCTGTCTCTCCCTCTCCCTTGACCCTTTCTCTTGCTCATGCTCTCTCTCATTCTCTGTCTCTCAAACATATATATGTGTGTGTTAAATAGATACTTTGCCCTCTGTGATTGTCATGGCAACCCTGTTAGAAAGGGAGCATTAAGCCCATTTTACAGATGAGGAAACAGAGGTGTAGTCACATGCCCCAGGCCAAACGGGTATCGAACCCAAGTCTGTGGACTCCAAAAGTCTTAGCTGACACTCTGCATATCCTGGTGGGAGAATAAAGGGGCAGGGCCAGGACCCACAGGTGGGGGGAATGGTCTGAAGTCAAGGTGCCAGAGAACGAGAATGGGCGGGCAGCAGGAGTCGGGCTGAAGAGGCAGGCAGGAAGGTCAGCTGGCATAGCTGACCCCATGGAGTTCTGGAAGCCTGCCCTGGTGCACCGCGGGGGGGCCGTGGGGGGGGGGGGGCTGCTATCCTGACTTTAGGCGTGAAGGTATTTCCACCCCCACCCCCCTACCGGCGTGCTTCTCCAGGTCTCTCATTGGTCTGAGCAGTAGGTGGGGCAGACCGTGGACACTGGGAAGGGGCCAGGTTCAGGGCAAAGGCCGGTGCAGGACCTGAGGCGGGGAGGAGCAGAGCTGAGACAGGCTGGGAACAGGGACTCGGGAAGACATCACCATGGTCTAAACTGGTTCCAAACAGAGTTCCACAGTCAAAGGTCTTCAGCTCCGTGGCATGGATCTCACAGCCAGCTGTGCACTGACCGCCCTGGGCTTGCTCCCAAGGGCTGTGCTCCAGGGGCCGGGCTCCCTCCAGGACTGCAGCCCGGCCTGGGGCCCACAGCTGTGTGGTGGCTGGAGGTCTTCTCCCAGAGAGCCTGGAAGGAAGGAACCCCCCACCTGAGACTCTGAGTGGGCGGAGGATGGGCGGGAAGGAGGCGTGGTTCCTGCCTCAGGCTCCCCAGTCTGAGCACCAGCCCACATCGGAGCCGGGACTGCAGAAATGGAGCACAGGCCGTGAGATTCGGGCTAAAGGAGCTCCCAGAGTAGAGGCTGGTCAGAGGCAGAGGTGATAGGCGGGTGCACAGATAATCCCAGGGCCCCCTGAGAAGGTAGATGCCTCTAGAAGGCAATGCATTCTCTCAGAAGCGGCAGAGATCTGTTTCTCCCTCTTAGACCAATTCAGAGGCCATGTCTACTAACAAGGGCCAAGGAGCTCTGGTCTAAAGACAAAGAATAGATCTGAAAAGGTGCTGCTCATTGCCTCTGTGTGTGTGTCTGTCTGTCTGTGTGCATGTGTGTGCAAGTGTGCATTCACAAAACAAAGGAAGCAGGCGGTGGGTGGGACAAACATTGCACCCAGCTAAGATCTGAGCAGACTCTACGGTGGCCCGTAAGGAGCAAAGTGAGTCCAAATCCACCATGAATCAGTCCAGTGTTGTCTACTGAACATTACCATACGCCAAGCGTTGTCTGGGGTGCTCGGGACACAGCAGGAAATGGCACAGGCGTGAGGCCCGGGCTCCGTGAAGCCCACAGTGCCATTGGAAGCCCAGGTGACAGGTGCATATCGGCTGAATGCCACAAGTGGAACGGCGAGCGAGTGAATGTACCCCAGGAGACGCCTCCAGTCGGGGGCATCAGAGAGGCCTCCCCGAGGAAGCGCGATTTCAGAGGACTGTGGGAGGATGAGTGGAAAGTAACCAGGAAAGCAGCAGGGATGCAGGACAAGGGGCCCACGTCTTTCGGATGAAGAACAGAGAGCAAGAGAGAACAGGAGGTGGCTTTAGATGAAGCCAAGACAAATTGGAAAGGATCTCAAAGAAATAGAAGTAGTAATTATTACTCTAGAGCACACATTCAAACTAGTTTAACAAAATGTTGCCGTAATTATATCTACCTTAATGAACAGATAAAAACAGTTTGCAATTAGTTCTGTAATTGGTTATGTGAAAAGAGATGCTTCTTTGAGTTCCAAAGCACATTGTCTCGTAGACGGTTTATGAGAAAGAAGATGCTTCGAGTATAAAGCACGTTGTCTTAAAGAGCTGTCCTGCTCTAGTGTCCTGTGGACATCTTTTCTGCAAGGGCCCTGCAAAGGTAGACGACCCTAGTCATTCCTAGAGTGGGGAAAAAACGTTGAAAAGAGGGGCAACTGGGTGGCGCAGTCAGTTAAGCATCCAACTTTTGGCTCAGGGCATGATCTCACCGTTCGTTTCGTGAGTTCAAGCCTTGTGTCACGCTCTGTGCTGACAGCTGGGAGCCTGGAACCTGCTTCAGATTCTGTGTCTCCGTCTCTGCTCTTCCTCTCTCTCTCTCTCTCTCTCTCTGTCTCTCTCTCAAAAAATAAATAAACATTTTTAAAAAGTGTTAATGTAGATGTGAGTGACTTTACCTGTAATTGACAGAACAGGCTCAGGTCTCACTTCTGTGCCTCAAGAGGACTTTTTTTTTTTTAATCTTAAATGGAAATGCTTAATCTTGAGGGCAAAGAATGCTTCAGGGGGCCTCTAGACCCCCACTATTGTATTTAAAAGTGTGTGCATATTCGGGATATCCATTTCCTGAGGGAAGGAACCACAACTTTCAAAAAACCAAAGTAACACTACTCAAGGAGATTAACATTTGCAAAAACAATTCTTAGGAAGCACTGGGGCTCCCAGTGGCAAAATGCAGCCCACATCCTGTCTCTGCGGGGTGCAAAGAGCTGTGGGAAGAGAAGGCCCACTCTCCCCGCAGGCGCCTCTTCGCCTCTTCGGGGTCCATCTGAGGCTTGCTCCGTGAGGATTAAGGCTCACCAAGACTGCAGGCTGAGTCCTCCAAGAGTAAGAGAGAGCCTTGCCCCACCACACCCATAGACATTCCTCCTTGTGGTCTGGCTGCCCCACCAAGATGAACTATGACAACACCACTCTAGCGTTAGGTCCCCAAAAGACCTACAGCCCCCAAACAGGATCCCCAGACATCTTCAGTGTCACCCTGGGGCAACCAATGCCTTTGAAATCCACAGATATATCTTCATATTCAAGACCCCAAATATCGCCTCAAAATGGACCTGCTTAGACCTTATAAGCCCTGTCTGAATAAAGATCTGTCATAAAAGTGGCTAGATCTGTGCCGACCAAACCTAGCCCCCTATGGCTACTGAGTACTTGAAATATGGCTGGTCAAAATTGAGATGTGCTGAATGAAGTTCTTTCTTTTAATGTAAATTATCTCAATAATTTTCTATTGATCATCACATGTTAAAATGATAATTATTTTTGGAGAATTGGGTTAAATAGAACGTATTACTAAAAGTAATTCCATCTGTTTCTTTTTTTTTTTTTTTAATATAGCTACTAGAAAATCTTAAACTGCACATACAGCTCACACTATATTTTCATCGTATACTCAGGTCTGGCTTATTCTGCTCTGTATGAGCATGTCTCCCCAAAACCAGGCCAGCTCTGTGGAGCCACATCGCAGCCCAGTAGACCAGCCGCCCCAGAGGGCCCCCACACCTGCAGGAACTCCCAAGCTTTTAACACTGGATCTAAAAGGGCTCATACCAGTCCCTGTGGTCTGGTCAGATTCACAGGCCTGAGCAGGCTGCTACCTGTCCCCAGTGCCAGCCCAACCCTGAACCCCAAAGAATTTTGCAGTCTTGTGCCAAACTGAAGAGATGGCCAGCACCCAGTGATGTGCACCCGCAGCTAATCACTTAAGAGCAAGGGTCACTCGGGAACGGTGGCCAATTTCTTGGGTTGCCCAACAATGAGGGGTTTCCTGGGCAGTGGGACTTCTCGTTTTAAATTTTTTTTTTCAACGTTTATTTATTTTTGGGACAGAGAGAGACAGAGCATGAACGGGCGAGGGGCAGAGAGAGAGGGAGACACAGAATCGGAAACAGGCTCCAGGCTCCGAGCCATCAGCCCAGAGCCCGACACGGGGCTCGAACTCACGGACCGTGAGATCGTGACCTGAAGTCGGACGCTTAACCGACTGCGCCACCCAGGCGCCCCAAGGGACTTCTCGTTTTAAAAAGAGGACAGCCCCGGGCAAACCATAGTGAGCTGGTCACCTGGACGCAGCCTCTGAGACCCTGATTCTCAGGCACCCCAGAGCTGACTGGCCTTCCCAGCCACCCACCAAGCCCTGAGATGTGTAAGGACGAGCAGAGCATGTGTAAAATCCCAACGGCTACAGGTGTCCTCTGAACCAGGTGAAAACCCAAGTTCTCAAGCCACACGCACTGCAGCAGCAGGAGGAGAATTGGCTGTGGCCCTTTGGCTATGCTTGGGGATCAGATTCCTCCTTAAATCGTCCTGCCTGGTGGAGCTGGCCTCGTGATTGATCAGCAGGCTTCCCTCCACTCCCTGGGGGCAGGGGGAGGGGGGAGGGGGTGTCTGCCTGGCTCCCCGCCTGCACCACAGGCGTGTCTGTGAGTCACGGGACCCTGTCCCTTTCTCTCCTTCAGCTGGGTCCTGTTGGGCCACAGGCTGTGCCTCCACAGGCACATGGTGGATGGGCTGCTTTGGCTGAGGCCAAGGAAGGGGCTTTCTGTCTTGAGTTCTGCTCACAGTCAGACATTACTAGCCCCGTGATCATCCAGCTCTCTCTCATAGTCTCCTTTCAACACATAACAGTGTCTTCCACACTAAGTCACTCAGGGAGGGGCA